TGTGGATAGACTGGCCACTTTGGAAGTTGAAGGCTCTGCTTGGCAGTGGTTCCACTCCTATTTAGCTGACTGATTCCAGAAGGTGATGCTGGGGGACTACAGCTCTGTGCCATGACAACTTTGCCAAACAGTACGACAGGGTTCCATTTTGTCCCCATTGCTTTTTAAAATCAATATGGAAATGCAGAGAGAGGTCATCAGGAGGTCACCAGTACTCTGCTGACACCAGCTCTACATCACTTTTCAAACTAATCCAAGTGAGGCAGTGGCTGTCCTGAACTGGTGACTGGCTGAGTTAATGGGCTGGATGAGGGCCAATAAACTGAAGCTCAACCCAGATAAGACAGAGGTCCTTTTGGTAAGTTTTTCAGGTTTTCAGGAAAGTGATTTTGGCCCTTTCCTGAATGGGGATGCACTCCCTCTAAAGGACAGATCTGCAGCTTGGGAGTACTCCTTGACACAGAGCTGTCCCAGGAGGCACAGGCAGTGATGCTTGTGGCGAGATGCGCTTTCCTTCAGTTTTGGCTGATCCATCAACTGTAACCTTACCTGGAAAAGCACAATTTTTTGATACCTTCCAGGTGAGGATATTCTAGAAAGAGTACATGTTAGGTCTCCTTTTGTAAAAATGTATGGCAGAATATGTGTCAGGGGTAGGAAATTGACCCCACAATGGAGAATGATGGTCAATTGCAATGGCTACAAAAAGTAGATGTGTATAATGTTAATTCATATAGAACCTTCCATGTACAGCTACTAACCTAAACATGAGTACTGCACATTCTCGGGAATATACAGCTTACAGGTGGCTTTTCATGGAAATCATTCCTAAGCTCATCCCCCAGGACTGCCTTCTCCTGATGTTCAGAAACTTCAGGCATGTGGGATGGTGCAGACAGATGTTGGGTGCCATTGGTTCTTGTGAGCTTCCTGCAACAGCATCACTTCCTGGGGGTTGTCAGAATCCCGGAATCTCAATTTGAGAAGAGGGAATAAAACTCGGGTTTGTGGGAAAGACCAAGCGTCCAGACCATCTGAGGCTTTATTGAATTTACCCCAAGGTTCCTGCGGTACTCACGATAATGCATGCATTACCAGGCAGGCAGAGGTGAACACTGCTGCAAAGCTTCAGCACAACTACAGAGGTTTTATACACTCCCATGTACAGGGCAATTGCTGACAGAATGCAGAGATTACAATAAGATACTGAGGTCATCATATACAGAACAGATAAAGGAATGTCAGTCAATCACACAGTAACAATGAGATTACAATATTTCTAATTGCTTGTATTGACACTTTAGTTCAGTAGCTTGAACCCATCTCCAGGTCTGCTTAGACATGTAAATTCAAGCTACTGAGAAACTATGCATGAGCTCAAGACTCTTATCTAGACTCTAGACATTCTGAATTGGCCAGGGCACATGGAGCCTCTGGGCTAGGAAGATACTTCCTTGAATTCCAACCATGATTATTTAATTATTGTGAAGGTATACAATGTAAATTTGGACTAAATGACCTGTGTACTGTAGCTTACAGCTAAAGGTGAGAGAAAGGAGCGGGGAATGCCATTTTAAACAGTGACAGCTTGGTTTTGAGAAGGAGTACAGGATTTGATCCCACAATTCAAAGGCACACAGAAGTAATGTTTTTATGACAGGATTAATCCAAATTTTCCCAACAGGGTCCACTTCCAGGCTGAGGGAAATTCATGGTCCAGGACGACTCTTGACAGCAAGCTACTCAGAAGACTGACTGTATGGCTCTATGCAAGGCCATCTGGCTTTGGAGAGGTTTGTGGAGGCCCCTGTCCTGGTTTGTCTGCCATCCCTAGGATTTTTATTGGGGAGATCATGGAAAGCCTTTTTGGTATGCAACTACAAGGTATGGGAGTTTAGGGTCAGTTACACTCAGGTAAGTTTAGGGAACAATGCACTTCAAAAGGAGTTACTAATCTCAAGAGGTTTGGGATTTGGGTTGCTGAGTTAAACATGCACTGCCAATAAGAACACACCCTAGCCTTGCATTCTGATGTACACATCATCCTTAGAAAATGCTGGGCATTTCAGATAAATGAGAGCCAGGGTGGCATAGTGGTGATAAGCATGGGACTGGGACTCAGACGATCCAGGTTCTAGTCTCTGCTCGGCCATGGAGCCAACTGGGTGACTTGGGGCCAGTCATTGACTCTCAGTCCAACCTACCTCACAGGGTTGTTTTTGTTGGGATAAGATGGAGGAGGAGGAGGATGTAAGCTGCCTTGAGCCCTTTGTAGGAAAAAGGCAGGATATAAATCCATAAATAAATAAATATCCTGGCAGAATATCCTGTGTTATATAATTGAACCTGTGCCCCTTTCTGGGAAAGTGGCATAATTCCTAGCCAGGTTGCTGTATTGATTTATTGTTAATTTAGGAGATTGGACCTCTTCTGGCTCACCTGAGGCTGCTATTGCAGTCAGTTGTAAAATTTACTACATCGAGGCTTTGTGCTGCTAATCTGTTAGCAGCAGCAACCTGACACAACTAATTCATTTGCAACTCATAGCCAAGACCAACGATGATGTGGTCATTGGCTCATGATTGTTAAGCAACTCACCTGTCATCAAACACTATTGTGTAGAACCCCCTTCCTAGACCTTTCACATTTCTTTTGACAGTTTTCCCCTTATTTCGACATCACCTGCCCTGCTTGGAGATGTAACTTACAACCTAGAAAACACTCTGGGTGTGTTCTAAAAGTTTAAAGTTGGGTATGAGGAACATACCCAGTGGCATGCTTTCCCAAGAAAACTGCAGGGGGTCCTGGGTGGTCTCACAAAAAACAACAGAAACAACACAGGAGTTTGTTGGGAAAATTTGGATAAATCCTGTCAGAAAAACATTGCTTCTGTGTACTTTT